GCTAGTGCTTCCAAGTGTAAGCACAAGTCACTATCTATCAAGGAAAAGGGTGAATTTCCTTGGTCCGGAAATTTCCATGGTCCGGCACCGGTCAGGTCCCGAGGCTGCCGGACTAGGGAGGTACAACCTGTACCATTGAAACAATGGATTCGGTTAACAAACGACTTTGTGGAATGAATTGTGTTCGTTAACCGAGGGACCACTGTGCGTATATGGTTTTCTGGCAAAAATGATGGCAAAAAAAAAAAAATAAAGCTCCTTGACCCAGGAACGAGATTTGGTTTTTCTAGAGGTGTTTATGTTCTACGTACTGGTGATAACCGTTTCTTGCGCAATGCAATTACTATGGTTTTGAGATATGGCCACTTCTCCTTCAGTTTTAATACTCCACAAAGAGGGCCAAAATAATATACATAAACGACATAGATGGAGACAGCAACAGCTTTAAGTAAATTTTCTGATGACACAAAAATAAGGCGTGAAATTAAATCTGACAAAGATTATAAAAAAATTGCAGGAATATATATATATATATATATAAATTTCTCATGGTCTGAAAATTGGTAAATGAAATTTAACATGGAAAAGTGTAAAGTACCAAGTCTGGGAAATGCAAATAAGGAAACCAGATATCAGATAAACAATGCTGATTTAGAGAAATCAGACCATAAGAAAGATTTACAACAGAGGTTCCCAAGCATTTTCCAGTGCAACCACGTCTAGTGCTGTCCCCTATACAGTGCGACCCCGAGTCATTAAATTAAATTTAAAGATTCGTTAAATAAATACGGACATATTTTTACTTGTACAGGAAGTGAACTGTAAAAACAAACAAAGAAAGTACATTACATAATTGAGAAGTGTAAAAGCAAACACTGGCAGAAACAGATACATTTACTGCCAGCCTGCATTGTTCTTGTTGCAACCAGGCTTCAACACAAGAACTTCTTTCCACGGGGAATAACAACAAAAAGGTACTCTTGGGTTACCACACATAGTCTCGCGTCACTGACAGTCACTGTAGACAGTTGTCGCGGCAAGGAGAACTGGCAAGCGTGACTTGATTAACCACTTAGGTGCAATAGACCAGCCTGGATTGCTTTTGTCGCAACCAGGCTTCCACACGTGATATTTCCACGGGGATAACAAACCTAGGTTAACACATCTAATCTCGTGTTGATCATGGTCACTGCAGACGGGTGTCGCGCAGGAGAACTCTGTAAGCGTGAATTGATTAACCATTTACTGTCGGTTTGATAGGCCAGCCTGGATTGCTCGTTGCAACCAGGCATCCACACGTGATATTTCCACGGGGATAATAAACCTAGGTTAACACACTTAATCTCGTGTCACTGACGGTCACAGGATGGAGTGGCAGTGGAGGACTCTACCTGGTGTCCCGTTCCCTTCAGGAGGGAGAAGGTGGATGTCTTAACTAACCCATGGCCTAGGGGATACTACTTAAAATGTGGTTTTGGGGTGTGAGGCGATGAACAGTACAACAGTGTCTCACTGGCCTCCCCCTATAGGCTGGCTAACATACAACTAATGGAAAAAATATGTTGGTCATGGCTCGCCGGGTGCCTTATCTCTAGTAAAACAAACTTTGGAGTTGGTTACATGGGTAAGCCTTACGCAACTTATGACAGGTATGAAAAACAGACCTAACCAACCTAACCTTACCTAACTTCCTATATTAAACAGAAAGAACTTACTACGATATGGTGAAATTTGAGGCATTTTCTGGACGCGAAATGATACGGCCGCATCGGTGCTCATGCAGCCCGGGTGGTGAAGTGATTTATTGTGATGACGGGAAACGTCGAGCCATGGCGTTGAGGAAGTGATGAACAAATTTCTTTCCAGTCTGAAAACAAAGGGATTCCCACAGTGTACACAGTCTCTATTCAAAGGAACAATGCTGTGGTCTTTAAACAATTGAAGGATCTTGTTGCCTTTATCCCTAAATTCGCAAATTACGTCCATATATAACCGGTGACAACCTTCACACGTCATGCTAAAAATTAAACTGCCTCGGGAATGGGGAAAAGTGCCGCAGCAGAGCGAGGCCTCATTACCACCGGAAAGACAAATTAGTGCGCTTCTAGGCGCCTAATTATCTACAAAAGAAACATTTACACAAGAAATGATTACCATATCAGAACTCACTGATGAAAATAAAGTAAAGTAATAAGGTCAATTTATAGTCTTGCACCAGTCATTCTTTTTCTGTTATTAATACGTATTTCGTAATGGTATTTGATGAGTTTCGAACGAATTTGATATTTATTTCTGCCGGAAATCACCATTTCTTTTTGATTATCCCCACCCAACAATCATAATAGATAAATTTGGATTTTTTCTCTAATAAATCACATCAGTAAAATACCAACCAACCAACAAAACCAAACCTAACCTAACCTTTGTTCATGCCCCCACATCTTACCTTAATCTGAAAAAGAATCAGGTTCATCTGGGTTGTCAATGCACATGCACTGTAGACGCTTAAGAAGCGAAGACGGAGGTAAGGAGCGATGCGTGAGGGGGGTGTCAGACTCTGCCAAAAGTAAATACGACTTGGCAAAAATTGTGACCGAGCGAATGTAATAACATTGAAAAATTAATATCTCGGTTATCCTTAATTTCCGGTGGAAATAACATTGAAGAAAAATGTCTTAGAATTGTTTAAACATTATGAAATATATATTAATAACAGCGAAAGCAAGACCGGTGCAAGAATATAAATTCACCCAAAATAAACAGTAACACAAATAACTCGTCTGTAGGTTAGTCCTATATATTAACTGCCATCTTTAACTAGAACACACTGAGAAGCTTTAAATATAGGTTGGGGTTAGGGTCATCTTGTACCCAAGACAACTCGTACCCAAGACAACTCGTACCCGACAACTCGTACCCAAGACAACTCGTACCCAAGATAACTCGTACCCAAGATAACTCGTACCCAAGACGACTCGTACCCAAGACAACTCGTACCTAAGACAACTCAAACCCAAGATAACTCGTACCCAAGACAACTCGTACCCAAGACAACTCATACCCAACTCACAAGATAAGTCGTACCCAAGATTACTTACACTCAATTCAAGTGATAATCCATATATATTTGTGCATATTAGCTTTATCTATGATTACAAAAAAAGATTATGTAAATCTTGTAGGAAAGAGCAGTGAAATTGGGAAATTATTAAACTAATGCAGGCTTTAAAATGGTTGCATCTCATTACATAAGTACGGTATGTTATTCCGTCACACAAACATTACACTACAAGTACTACATATTTTACACTATGAGGTTTAGAACAACTTTATTGCAATTTACAAATTTCAGGCTAATAGATTTGGCAGTTTCAATTTATAAACTGGGCGATGTAAACGTTTAAAATGGTCATAAGTCAACAAAATATAGACATGCATAAAAACATTGATTTTCCAACTCCAGCTTTATGTAAACAAATCAGTTAGTATACAGTATATAATTCAGGGGTCCTGTCTGGTACTTCTTCAGGCATAATGAACTTGTTCTACGGAGTGGCTGACATCGTGACATTGTCAGGAATTTCTTTTTGTGACATGTCAACGTCAAGAATGAAATACAGTAGTAATAAGGATATAAAAGAACGAAGATTGAGAATACAGAGTATTGGCCAATGCATAAAAATTAGTTATGTTATTGTATGTTAATGATACTCTGGATAGATTTGTTTAAAAAGTCACCACCACAAAGAAACAAGACCAGTATGAGTAACATAACGACTTGATTATGTATCACCAAATATTCACGCTCTTCCTAATCAGAGAGCGAAAGAGCAGACGTATTTACTCTTAATTTGTTGAAGTTAAGATCAAATAATTTTGGTATTTTTGCGTTTACACACCGCACATTCCTATTACTAATCTATTATCATATTCTAATAAGACGTCTAATTATAAGATAATTTTCATCCATTACATTACTGGCGCAAATGTATAATAACAGAGATAGCGTATCCAAAATTTTCTCTATTTTCTTCCATTAATCTTCCTCCATTATCGCCTGCCTCACCTCCAACACTGCGTGTCTCCTTCATAAATCATCACGCGCATGCGTTCCCGTACACGTCACGCAGCCAATCAAAAGCGTTTTTGTTTTTGCAACCAATTAAAATGATTTTGGGTTTAATTCGCTGTATACTTGGCCCAATCAAGCGGGTTTTATTTTGGGTCTCTCATATTTCAAAATTCAAGTTCAGTTCCGACCATGGAAGTCTGCGATGGGTGTCACTTAAATTATATGGAGCTGATTGCGAGTTTTGGGGAAAAAACGAAGAAACTGTAGCATTTTTTCGATCGCATGGTGTTCGTTCAACCACAGGAAAGTGTACTAAGAGCAAGACTGAATGTAAATATCACAAAGACCAACATATGTGGCGTTGTGTAAGAATCTCAGAATCCAACGACGAACAAGAACCAGGACAATAAGGTAAGAAATAGGTGATTCCATCATATGGTGAGAGTCAGTCAGGTTAGGTTAGGTTTGGTTTGGTTTTTGTTTTTCTAGTGTTTTTTGGTGTATTTTGCCACGATTTTTTTTTCGGAAAAAGTCCAACGAAAAAAATTCGATAAAAAAAAATGCTAATTTCTGCCAGAAATGAAGGTCATATTCGGCTTAAACACACACAAATACACTAGACAAATATATTTTTTACCTTCTAACAGAGTGCGGTGTGACAGTGCAAATTTACCATAATTTTTTTTTTAAACACATTGCTATTCATATATTAAAAATCACCATTGCACGATAAAATTTGCTTCTGAAGACGTCTTAAATAACGACAAAAGCTAAGGTGCTCCATTATAGGTTGGACAGATATACGAGAGAAATGGTTAGGTGAAAATGGGGTTGCCTAGTATGGGTCAATAGGCCCACTGCAGTTCCCACCATCCTTATGTTCCTAAACCTGTGGCCCAGAGTGAGGTGAGGCAGGTAGTGGACACACCAGAATGAATATGAAGACTGATCTCTTTCAAGCCCCAGCGCCATTTTCTAAAATAACCAAGAAAACAAGAAGGTAAGTTATATATTTATATTCCACAAAGTATCAACAAAATTAAGCCATATATTTAGCCTTTAGTTAACAACTAGGGCTACAGCCAGTACCGGGGAGAGGCTATTAACTTCTCCGAAATGTAAACTATACAACTTTCTAAACAGTTTCTTGCCTGATTTTGGTAGAAAATATGTTTGTGATTGGTAGAGCATCAGCATTTTCAATACAGCGTGGCAAGATAGACTGCACTTTAGTAAAAATACGTTGAAAAGTCAGAGTTGGGTCAGCCATTGTTTACAAGCTGAGCGGCGATAACAAACACTCGACCATTTGATATATTTTTGCTAAATGAAATAAATATTAATAAGTGCACAGATCTAAAAAACATTTCACAATTAATTTCCTATTAAAAATACATATATGTCATAATTTGCCTTATATTTCAATTTATTTTAATCACTATCGACAATCCATCGTTTTATCGAGGAACAACTGATCCAACAACTAACCCTGAACAGTAGTCTCCCGACCCCTTGAACACACCTGTAATAGTAAAATATCTACTACTGGCGAAGTAGAAATCTATTTTTTAATATTTTCATCCACATCACATACAGTAACTATTTTTTGTACATGTGCGCCGGCAAATTAATCTAGTGCAGTAGTTTCGAGTATTTATTTATATATCTATTTATTTATCTTTTTCTATATTATTATTGCTAATCTTAATACTCCAATACTCCTTCAGTTGTTTTCCTGTCAGTGATGAAATACTTTGGTGGATCATAAAATTAGAAGTATTAATAGGCAAAGTTGATGGTAGGGGGCCCAGGGAAAGGCAGAGACTGGAATAGATAAATGACATTAAAAACCGGGTCTCCAGAGAAATGTAAAACACCCGAAAATTGGTTGAACAGCGTTTAGACAGCAAGTACTGTACTGTGGTTGTCAACCCCCAGATGAGGATGGTACTTTCATTGAGTACATTAGTTAGCTCGTGTCGGGCTCTATTTATTTATTTATTTATTTATTACAGTATTCTTTTTACCTCACGTCAACTTACTTGCCAGACGGGAGGTCCGTCTGCTCTCTGTTATGCACTATTGACAATACAGGGTAATATACCCGTACAACGGTATAACTGCCATAATCCAGACGATATGTGCTAAAATATCGATGATTTGTACATTTTGTCATAAAAGAAAGTAATTTGGTACACTTAAACTTTTACTTTACTTTTATCCTCGTCACCACTGATCGGCTCGTTATCCGCTTGGGCGATCGGTCACGTTTCTGTTACGCACTGTTGGCAAGTATTGGGCATGCACCGGCTCCTGAATGTACCTGAACCTGCTCCAGTGTTGGTCAAGTCTTGTCTTGAAAGAGCTCACACTCGGTGCCGTCACAACACTTTCTGGTAGATTGTTCCAAGAGTTCACAGCTCTCACTCCGAAAAAGTTTGCCATCACAGTTTTCTGGACTTGCGGCTTCTTCAATCTTGAGCTGTTATCCCTTGTGGGGCGAGCGTCCGCCAGCTCCAAGTAAGGACACTCGTCTGAGTAGTGCGCCTTGAGATGCTTATACGCCTCAATTAGGTCACCCCTTGCCCGTCTGTAGTATTAGCTAGGCAAGGTCAGGGGCTCCAATCTCTCAGGGTAGCTGAGGTGCCGAAGTGCAGGCACCAGTCTGGTGGGCCTCCTTTGAACATTTTCAACCAACTGACAGTCCTTAGCATAGCTTGGGGACCAGACGGGGTGACAGTACTCCAGATGGGGAAGCACTTCACTCTTGAAGATCGTTACGAGGGACGGACTGTCTAGATAACTGAACGACCTTCTTATAAGACCCAATAATTTATTTGCCGGATTTACCTTCTTATCGCAAAGGCCCGAGAACTTCAGCTCATTGTCAACATATACACCTAGGTCCTTCGCACATTCAGTCTCAAATAGTGCTGTTTCTTCATCCCGTTGGGACATATGATACGCCTCTTTACCGTTGGTACGCCCCAGGTGCATCCTCTTACACTTCGTGACATTGAATCTCAGCAGCCATTTCTTCGACCATTCTTGGAGCCCATAGAGGTCCTTCTGCAGCTCTTCACATTCGGCCTTGGTTCTTGATTCCCGAAATAACTTGACGTCATCGGCAAACAATTTTGGGATGTGGAGACATTTCGAAAACGTCCCCTATCGAAGCGACCATTTTGTTGCTGCCATTCTAGAAAACCTATTTTCTACCCTCGCACTGCTACTATACATGATGGCATGACAATAATGGCCTGTGTACCCCTATTTTAGTGACCAATGTTTACGATGGTGTCCAGTCGTTTTTCAGGGGTCGGATCGTGCTGTGTCTCTGTAACAAAGAGTGTTCGGCATTCGGGCCGTCGTTGTTAAGCAGCAGAAATTGGACAATGATTACATAAGATCATCAAGATCGTTTTAGTGATGTGAAAGTGTAAATCGATATAGGATTTTTAATGCTAGACGAGATTGTATTTTTGAAAACTCAATCTCCACCGAGCTGGAGATGCAGCCCAGGTCAAGAGGCCTACAACCAAATCATTGTCACATGACAAAGCTTTTATTTTATATTTCGACGGAGTTGTGGTCACGGCTGTGATAAAGGCCAACCAAGGAGTGTAGTACTGTGCCTTTAGTTAAATCAGTTCATAGTGTCATCAGTGACCGCGGAAAAGGTTGTAAATAACTTAAAGTGAATACAAATTGGCAAGCAAGCTGGAAAGGCACCACTGCCAGTTGAAACCAAGTCGTGTTATAGGTGCCACAGAGACTTTAAATTGTATTTTGTTTTTGTGCTTTCTCAAGGACGGAAACTGTGCCTACAATACACCATTCACAGGGAGATACAGTGTACACAGTGATAGCACAAAGAGATATAGTCGTTGATGAGAACAGGAAAAGAAAGTATAAGGAAATACTAGTCAAAATAAAAAATAAATAAAATCAACAAGCTTGGCTATCCTTAAAGGCATTCTATTACCGCCCCAAAGAAAGTTTTATTTTATTTTTCTGTGTTTCTAAATGACTGAATGGGTGTATAAAATCTGTTATTCATAGCAAAATGCAGTGTACATAGACACATAAATACTGACAAACGCTGAAGTAAACTGAAAAAAAAGAGAAGAAATACAGAAGACAACGCTAAAGGCAACAGGGGAGGTTAAAACCAGCAGAGGGCAGCTAAGTTCTGCTCTTTTTTTCTCTTTATTTTTAAATAGATGTAGATCTATACGCAGTCTGCACCCACAACAACAACAACCATGAGTATGATATGTGATTGTTCTAGGTCTTTTAACCGCTGATTCCGTCTGGGTTAATGAGGCCGGAACATGTATATTATATAGGGTTTTAGTAGTGAAACCCAATTGTCTGTTATCCATTTATTTAGGAACTATCTAGGATACAGTTCCAAGTGTATATCACCGTAACTTATCACTGTAACTATGAGTGTTAAACGGAGGACGGAGGGTATGCTAAATAGTCCTGCTAAATACGTCCGGTTGGTGTGAGGGGTTGAGTAACAATGCCGCAGGCAGTCGGCTTTTATACGCTGACCATAACAGTCACTGAGCCGCGCCTCAAGGAGCCTACCCATCACGTGATATGACCATGTCACCTCATAGCCAGTGGAAAGTTACAGGGGGCGATATGATTATATAAACCCAATGTACTGCCCTGACATTTATATAAGAACTAAGGGGCTGATACATCGCTCGGTCACCACCTTCCGAGCTTCCACGATGAATAAACTAATCTCACAGAATACATCCTATACATAAACCTAACCATGTTGCAAACATGTGGAGACACTAAGCTGGGGACTCTGGAACCGTAGGTTCATCAACTACTGGGGTCCTAGACTCAAGTGTCATACGGGTTAGTGTCTTAAGTACAATGTTCAACTTGGAAGACACTGACTTACAATAGCAAAACTTGGCATCATTGGCAAACATTTGTATGGAGGAGTGTACAACGTCAGGCATGTCATTTATGAAACAAACAAACAACAGCGGGCCCAATACACTGCCCTGTGGTACCCCACTTGTGACAGGTGCAGATGACGATTTCGTACCATTAATCACCACACACTGCTTGCGGTCATGTAGAAAGTCTTCTATCCACGCTAGGACATTTCCCCGAATTCCGTACCCTTCCAGTTTGATTTTCAGCCTTTCGTGGGGCACACTGTCGAAAGCCTTGGCAAAATCTAGGTAAATATTGTCTATATTACCACCCCGTTCCAGAATATGGGTCCAAATATCCAATACCTTGAGCAATTGTGTTAAGCAGGAGCGCCCCGGCATAAAACCGTGTTGGCAATCCTTTGAAAGGTTTTTTCGTATTAGATGTTCCATTGCGGCATCTCTGATAATACTCTCAAGTACTTTACATATTATGCTGGTCAGGCTCACCGGTCTATAGTTGTCTGTGGAGTGACGATCGCCCTTCTTGAAGATAGGACTCACATAAGCCACTTTCCATTCACTGGGGACCATTTGTTCATCCAGGCATTTACAAAACAGGAGCTTCAGGGGCTCTGCAAGCTCGTTGCACAACTCTCTTAGCACTCTAGGATGCACCATGTCAGGTCCGGGACTCTTATGGACCTTTAGCCTGGACAGTTTATTTCTAATACCCTCTTCTGTGAACACAATGTGGGTCAGTGCTGTGTCGAACCGTCTGTCCTCAAACCCAGGAAGGTTAGTTGCATCCTCTCTTGTGAACACTGAGGAAAAGAAGCTGTTCAAGGCCTCAGCTTTATCCTGGTCAGAATCTGCGTAACTACCTTCTTCAAGCCTCAGGTCTGATACTCCTACTCGCGTTTTCAATTTCTACTTTGTATAGCAGTAAAATGCCTTTGGGTTTGACTTGACCTCGCTTGCAACCAACCTCTGGAACTCCTTTTCAGCCCTTCTACATTCTTTCTTTGTTTGGTTTCTGGCTCTTGCATACATCCTCCTGTCCTGCTCATCATTTGACCCAACCCACGTCTTGAATTTCTGGGTTTTCTTCTTAATTTTGTCGACCGCCGCATGGTTCATGTGTAGTAGGGTGTGTCATACCTGAGGCGAATTTTTTTTTTTGAGTTTGAAAAATCGGCCCATGGTATTAATGATGTAGTTCTATGTGCAGAATCATGTGATATCTTCAGATTTGAAAAGTTTTCATTTTTTGCTAGGTAAATTTTAACTTGAAATCTTTTGAAAATTCAGTATTCCCACCCTTTTACCAACACCACTAAATAGCTTATTTAAAGTAAAGTAAATGTATCAG